CGACTAAAAGCCGCCTAAAAAGAGATTTTATTCTCCTTAGAGAATAGATTACTCTACTATAAAGGGATATTAGTAATACCGGAGGATAAAAATGTTCGTACCTATTTAATTAGGGATATTTATATATAAATACCTATTATATACCCTAGTAAAGCGAAAATTAGAAAATTAGTCCAAAAGTAGTACTAGTAGCCTACGATAATATTTAACGTAAATCAATACATAACTAATTATTAGGATTATAAGGCCTCTAAGTACCTATGCAATAAAACGCTAGGCAAATTATATTCTATCCTAATAGAAGATAAACGGCTATAGAGGAGTATAGTAATTAATTTTAAATTAATATTAGCGGATAAGAAGGGGTATAATAACGTATTAGTTGTTACGATGCCGACTAGAAGGGACTTGGAGAAGACGTAATATTGTACGAAGAGGAGAAGATTAGAAGAGAGTAGCGAAAATTCTACTCTCGGATTATATATATAAATTAAGTGGAGGTATAACTAAAGAACAATTAGACTTCGGTACTAGGACGCTAAAGGTGCTAAATTATATTATATAGTATTATAATAGTACCCAGGCCTCTAAAACGTAATTAACTTTAATTATAAATAAGATAAGTATACTGGAAGCCTTACGTTCCTTTACTATTATAGCGGCGCTATAGTTTTAGGTTACTAAAGTATACCTAGGTCTATATATTACCTACCGGGGCTCGTTACCCCTAATAATAGTTATAGCGGTAGAATATTCTTAGAATAGTAGTACATTAATCCTAATTTATCCTTAATAGTACAGGGCCCACGTATTATATATTCTTCCTACTTCCTTTCTCTTCTTTTCTCCCTCCTCCTCCCCTCCCCTCTTTTATTCCTTCTTTTCTTTAATAATAATTATACTTTATTACTTCCTCTTTTATTAATATATTACTATTAAAATTCCTATATTTTATTCTTAAAGATTTATTATTCCTACATTATTACTTTAAATAAAATAAAATATTAAAAAAAAGTCGCATAATAAAATATTAAAGTAGTTAAAGGTTATATTACTATATAAGAAATAGCTTTAATAATTCTTATACCGGGATTTAAGTATATACCCTACTTACACTATTATAACCTTAATATTAAGATTAATAGCACTATACTATTTAAAATTCTATACCTCCTTCCCCTAAGGAAGAAGCATTACTATTACTATATTTTAAAAAATAACTATAACCCTATAAATTATCCTATAAAATCCTTGATTTAGTATTTTATTAATAACATAAAGCTATTATATTTATAATTAGCGATTATTTTAATATTTCTACTTTAACCTGTTAAATTAATTCTTTCTAGGAAAAGGAGGAGAACAACGAATTCGTTTAAAAGGAGGTAATTTATATAATTATTACTACTGAGACGAAGAAATTATTTAGAAAACTTTACAATTATTAAAGAGAATATCCGTAATAATTATAAATTAATTGGTACTAAAAAGGTTATTAAAAAATAATAAATAAGAGGGTACCGGAGGAGTATTATTAATAGTATAAAGTTAAAATATTAATATTATATTAGTATATTAAAGTTTATATTACCGTTAATTTATATTATAATATATTAGCGATTACCGGCGGTCTATACTCCGCCTTTAATACACCGGCGAACGAACACTATATTTAGGTTAAGGATATAAAACCTCGTTTACTAAAGGGCGACCCTAATTTTATCTAATAATCGATAATTAAATTCTAGTTCCGTTCTAATATTAAAGCGGAAGTTTTTCGCCTAATTTCTACTATTAAAGATCCTACCCCTAAGAAAATAGAGGAATTTATTAACTAAATTATATTTAATTATCCTTCTTAGATTTAAAATATAATAGGCTTATTCCGTTTGCGGCGTACTATTATATTAGTTTTAAAGTAGTAGTATTACGGAAATAGGGATTTAGGTTTCAGGGTTTTAATTATAGAAATTAATTAAAGTAATTATATTAAGGTTCTTTAATAATATTAATAAGAAAATAGTATAATTATAGTAATTTACTATTGAATATACTAAAAAAAAATAGTTTTATACCCTATAAAAAAATATAAAAATTATAAAAATTATATAGAGTAACCGTAAGAGAAAAAACTATAATAATTTTCTTTAGATTCTTTAAATTAAAGTTAGGTAAAGGTAGCCTATTAGGTTAATTATTTTAGGGCTATATTAATTATTAGCTTAGGGCTCCTATAGTAGGTAAGGGTATTTTAAAGTTCTTTAAACGCTTTGGTTTCGTTTTACTATAATTAAAGGCCGGGCTTTTCTAAATTCTTATAATAAAAGTCTTTAATATTATTAATATTCATTTAGAAGTTTTTTATCGGGCGTTAATCGGAATAGTAAAATTTCAACTATTTAATCCTATATTTAAAATTACTATCCTTATTCTACCGAAAGTCTAAAATATATTCGAAATACTATTTTTCCTCCCCGGGGTTAGTAAGGGAAGCTACCGTACTATAGGCTCGCTAATCTAAAGTATTATTAAATACATCCTAATTTAGGAAGCCCTCTTAGTAAGGGCGGATAAGGGAAGTATAGAAAATTAGAAAAACCCTATATAAAGTATTTATAGTAATAGCAACAATTTGGAAGTATATTTTTTTAATAATAAAAGGGCCCGCTTATTTATTAAAGAATTTAGCGACTAGCCTACCCTAATTCTAATACCTTATATTAACCCAAATTTTATTACCTATTTTATATTAGAATACATTAGACCGGCGTATATCGGCGTAATATTAATAATATTCCTAAACTTCTTCTATAAATAGCCGGACTCTAATAGTAATTTTATTTACCTATTCTTTAATATTATATACATTAAATAATTCTTAATATTATACCGCTAATATAAGGCCGGCCTTATAGTATAGTAGTTCGGTATCTATCTTTAAGTACTCTTTATAATTAATAAAAAATAGGGAGAGGCTAATAATTTCGGAAATATAATTATTAATTACAAATTCTACTAATAATAAGTATTATAATTAATCGTCCTAGTAGTAAGAGTAGAAAGTATAGAAATATTATTTAATATAAATATTAATAATTTCCGTTTAGTTATCAATTTTAGAGTAAATAGAGGAGGAAAACTTCTATTTAATACTTAATAAGTAATAGAATTCCTATTAAAAAGCAGCAACGAATTAAATATTCCGGTTAGAAATAATAGAGTCCAATATACTATAGAGATAATAGACTTTACGTAGGAAAATTATAGTAATTACCCTAATTAATAAACTATAAATACTAATATAATAATATATTTTCATTAGGCGGTCGACGATAGTTATTATATATATATAAATATAATTATTTACTTTTATTATTAGGAAGGGGTTAATAAAATCGATAGAAATATTGAATTAATTGTGAAAGGGGACTAATAATAATTTAAGGAAGTTAGGGTATATAAAGTAGGAATTTTTCGTTCGTATATAAAAATAATAACTTTAAATAAAGATAATTATATTATAGGAAAAGTTCGGCTATATATAAATCCGCCGAATAAAATTATAAATTTTAAATCGTTTAAGGTACTTACTTAAAGCGGAACTATAAATATACTATAGAATTTAAAATTTAGCCTTAGGGTAGGGGTGAATAAAGGTCTTATTTCTAATTAGAATCCTACTATAAATTACCCTATAATTAATTATAATTACGCTGATAATTTTCTATAACTATTTCGGAAATATATTATAATTAAGATTTTAGAGTATTATAAGGGCCGCTAGGGATTCTAGGGAAATTAAATAAACTATATTAATATAATTATTATTAAGAGATTTAATATTAAAAATAAGGAATTTTATTAGTATTAGCCTATTTATAATATTATTAAAATCCTATTCCTCAACCCAATTTTCTTTAAATAGGAATATATATATATAATTAACAATCCGGTTATTATTTATATTCTATTTATCGGCCGGGGCGCTACCGGAGAGGCGTAAAAATATATTAGGGATTATAGCGTAGGCTTTAGAACAGTAAATAATTTTAAAACAAAAATCGTTAAAGAATTCGGACTATCTAATTTACTACTAATTAAAGAGTTTCGTAAAGGTAAAATACTATAAACTCTTATAATTTATAACAACTTCGACCGGCTCTTTTATACTTTAAAATTTAGAATACTATTCTTTAAAAATTTTAACGATAATAAACAATTCTTTATTATAAATCTCGTAATTATATTTAGCCGGAGAGTATTTAAAAGAGAAGAAAGTAATAGAGTAATATTTCCCTTCCTTATCAATTTAAAATAAGACGCCCCCGGAGGTTTAATTTAATATATTTATTTTAATAATAGTCTTCTAATTAGGGTTATAATAAACGAAGACTAATACCGAAAAAAAAACGGCTTTTAACTATTCGAATATAATTATAGCGGCCGGGGGTAGGGGTAAAGTCTATTTATTTTTAAATATTAATATAATTAGGAGTTAAACATTTTTGAAAAACCTTTAATAAAACGGTAGTAAAAGTTCGTAAAATTAATAAAGTATTAAAAGTCCTTTAACGTTTTGGGGGCGCCCTAATTAAATATAGCGTTTATTTTTTTTAGGTCTATATAAAGACCGTCCTAAAAGATAATTAGACTTAAATATTTAGTTTCGTACTTATAGAATTTATATTTATAAATATCTATAGTAAGGCCTACTTTATAGAAGCGAGAAATAATATTTTTAAAGTAGCGTTTATATTTTACCTTCGTTTTATTATAAATAAGAACATTATTTAAATAAGTAGTAACATACTTATTAAAAACGTTAAATAGGATATAATTAATATAGTACTAGAAAAAGGTAGGGGCGTTTATTATACTAAAATTTGCAATAAAATATTCGAATAGGCTAAACTTAATAATAAAGGCTATTTTCTATTCGTCCCTAGGAATAATCTATAGCCGATTAAAGGCTACTATAATATTAAATTTACTAAACTATTTTACTTTTTAGAGAGCGTTAATAATCTTTTAATAAAGAGGATAGGATACTCATTTTTAATAATAGTATTATTTAACCCTCTATAATTAACGCAAATACGGACGCCTCTATCCAATTTCTTAATTAATAGAACTAGGGCAACTATTAGGGAGGAATTTAAATAGATAAAACTAATAGCGAAGTAATTATTTCAATATTTATAAATAATTTAGAACTCTTTTTAGGATATAAAGCGGGGGTAATAGTAGGGGAGAGTTTATCCTAGGATTAAATCGATTTTATAATCGAAGGGGCGGTATAATAGTATTATTTTAATAATATTAAAGTCGAAGGCCTTCTATTTCCCTTAGAAATATTCGGGAAGGGCCGTAAAAATCTCCTACTAGGTCGGTAATAATTTACTATTAATATATTTCTAAATATCCTTTATTAAAATAATTTAGAATTACGGTTTTTCTATTACCCAATCCCTATAATTAATAATCGGCTAGGAAGAAATTATATAATTAATTAACTTTAGAGGATTATTCGGAATATAATATTATTAAGGCGGTAGAGGAATTGATTAGGGTCAATTAGGTTATTAAATTTAAAATTAAAGAGTTCTTCTATTTATATTTTAATAAAGTAATAGAATTAATTTAGTATATATTAATACACTTTTATACTAAACTCTTTATATAAACGAATAAAATTAATAGCGGATAGAATACGGATAAAAGTATTTTAAAGCTAAGTATAACCGTTTAAATATATATTAATAGTAAGTAATAGTTTATTTATAATTAGGGAATAAGGGTAAAATAATTTTAATTTTATAGTAGGCCGGAACCTATCCTAAGGAATAGACTTTACGGATTATATAATTATTAAAGGGTCGGCCTTAATAAACTTAGAATTTAAAGGAATATATTAAATAAAATTAGATAGGGCTAGCGTTTTAATAATAGTAAAACCTAACAATTCTATAAACTTATTAAACTAATTAATTACTAGGTTATATTTCCTTAGTTAAAGGAGGTTAAAAATTATATTTAGGCCGCTAAATAGCCAAATAAATAGGGCGAAACAATCTATAAATAAATTAATAGAGTAAGATAAAATACAAACGTATAAAATCTCGCCTCCCTTTCGGCTATCGGTTAACCAGAGGGTATAAAGCTAGAAGAATAATATTATAGGAATATTATATTAATATACAAAAGAGGAATTACTAAAACCTATTAAAGAATAGTTAGAATTGATTATAGTAGCATAAAGGACTAAGGAACCGGTACTAAAATAAAACGAATTCAAAAAAGAGAAATTAGTATTAAGTCCTATAAAATATAAATATAAATCCTCCGAATCCTTTAAATTATACTTCTAATAGCGATTTATATTAAAAGTTAAATTTTTCTTACTTTCTAAAGGGGGGTAGAAATAATAGTAAAACTAACGGGTTTTAATTTAGCTTTCGCTATATACGCTATTATATAGTAGTTAGGGGTATTATAATATATATATAAATTAAATTTCTAATATTAATCCTTTCCAATTTAGAAGATAGGGCCTTTCTAAAGAGTATCTACTTTATTAAGGACTATAGAATCGCTAATATCTATAGTAGGGGGGAAGGGCTACAATAATACTAAAAAACTACTACTTTAATATTAATAATTATTAATATTATTAACTAAAACTTAAAAGAGTTTAACCTATATAATAAAATTATTAATTATTAAACGTATTATAATATTAATTAAAACGTTTTAAAGGGGGTTATTAATTTTGAATTTAAATATATTAATATAGCGCTGGCTATTGAATTCGTATTAGTTGACTAATTTAATAAAAGTAGTAATAAAGTTAATAAATAATATATTACCCTATTTAAAATAGTCTATTTTCTATACTACTTTAATATAAATATTTAAAGTAATATAGTAGGGGTTGAAGTAAATAAGAATATTCTAAAAGTTGGAAAACCTAGTCGGCTAGGCTAAATTATTATAGAAATTAAATATAATAATATCGACTTTAATTTAAATATAAATATAAATATTATTGGAAAGGCGTTAGGAGATATAGAAGATATAGTTAGCTAGGGTTAGGTAGGTAGTAAAGTTGAATATAAATTTAACAATTAATTAGGACTACTAATTAATATACTTTTCCTAGCGTTTAAATAGAGATATTTTAATATTATTAAATATTAAAAGTTTAGTACTATACGGACCGACGGTAATGGAAGTATATATAATTTATTAAAATTAGTATACTACTGCTATAGTATCGCTATTCTATTATTAGGCCCGGTTTTTAATTTCGGCGAATTGCTATTATATTTATTAGGTTTAGATAATTATAGCGGTAGCCTCCGCTATAATTTTAGTAAAGTCCTACTATATTTAGGAGGTAATTATAAAATTTTGGGTCGTAGTATATTAAACTTAGTTAGCTACCTGCTAGGCCTCTAAAGCCTCCTATTAAATAATATAGAATTCGTTATAGGCCCTACTAAAATATTCTTTGATAATTGTAAGGTAGAATTAGAATTAGGTAAGGACGTTAGAATTTACCTCTAAAGTAAAAACGAAGTTAGAGAAGTCTTTAAAGAGGTTTTTAATTACTTTATAAATAAAAGGGAGAATATTAAAATAGAAGAGGGTACGGACTATCGCTTTATAAGCGGGTATTATACTAGAATTAAATATAATTATATTTAATAAACTTATAGAATTATTTATAATTTAATTTAGGAGTTACAATATAGGAATAATAATAGTACAAAGTATAAAGAGAAGTACTAAAAGTATTAGAGTTAAATTAATTATATAATTAGAAGTATCTTATAAGTAGTATAACAGTAGTAAAATATAATAGTAGTATTAAAGTAGTAAATTTAAAGGTTTTTTTGAGGAATAGTTATAGTAAGGTAGGATTAGATTGTATATATAGCGTAATTAGACTGGAATTAAGCGAAGTCGGTACTAATTCTAAAATTAAATCGAAATGAAACAATTTTAATTATCGGGCCGTTAATTAATAGAAAAAGTATAATATACTATTATAATACTGACTAGAAGGGATTTAGAGAAGATGTAATATTGTACGAAGAGGAGAAGATTAGAAGAGAGTAGCGAAAATTCTATTCTCGGACTATATATATAAGCTAAGTAGAGGTATAACTAAGGGACGGCTGGACTTCGGTGCCGGGACGCTGAGGGTACCAAGTTATATTATATAGTACTATAATATTAGTAATAGTAGACCAATTCTCAAAAATATTATAGTATTTCCCTTATGGAAATATTATTACTACTAAATAGGTAGTAAAAATATACTATTAAAACCTATACTAAATCTTTAACTATCCAAATAAAGTTATTAACGATAGGGGCTCCTAATTTATATTAGATTTTATATAGGAATTAATTAGACTATTAGGTATTATATAGAAGTTTAATAGTTTAGAATACTCTTAAATAATAGGATAGGCCGAAGTAATAAATTAGTATTTAGATTAACGACTATAATTATTACGGGGCGCGAGCAAGTACTAAGCTAAGACTTTGATTGTTGTGCGAGGAATAGGAAGAGAATCTTGTGCGCGTACGAGAACTATATAGGGTACGCTGTAGATTTAATATACGGACTATAGCTAGACCGAGCTACGTAGGTATGTAATTACTATACTATATTTAGATAGTTGTAAGTTGGCTGTACTATTATAGTATAGTACCTATTAATATATAAGAATATAGTAATAATGCTTGTAATACTACCTTCCCCTAAGACGAAGCTCCCGCTTGAAAATTCTAGTATTATCGATAAAGTGGACCTTCCTGGCCTTTTTATAGCTGCGTTTAATTAAGTACTAATAAAAATTTTATTAAAATAGAAAGTTGTTTGGCGTTTTTTTAAACCCGATTCCTGCTTAGGGGTAGAATATTAGCTAAAATATTACTAATTTAACCTTTCTACTGAAAGAACTACGTGGAGGCCTATATCGCTACTTAGTAACGTAGGGAAGATCTTTAAAGCACTCGTAGCTAAGAGGCTTACGTAGGTAGCTGAAGAGTTTAACCTCCTGCCGGAGGGCTAGATAGGCAACCGGACAGGCTGTTTACTAGAGTTTATAATCCGGGTAGTTACTAATACAGTGTATATAGCTTAGAAACTCGGGGCTATAACGTCCCTTATACTCTTCGATTTACAAGGAGCGTTCAATAGAATTAATTATAGGTAGATTCTATATACCTTATAGGAAATACAACTCCTAATATAGATTATTAGGTAAGTAGTAAGCTTCGTCGCCAGCCGAAGAGGTTCCCTCTTCTTCGATAATAAAATATCCCGCTCTTATACTATTACTATAAGTATATTTTAAAGTTCCTCCCTCTCTTTTATCCTATTTATTCTCTTTATTACCCTATTATATTAGAAATTAATAATAATCCCAAATATAATTACTATTAGCTTTATAAATAATACTAATATTATTATAATAGTACGTACTATTAAAGAGAATTATTAAATCTTATAAATAGTATAGGAAATATATTTAGAATAAGTAGGGGCGAAAAGTATAGAATTTAAAGTAAATAAAATAAAATTAATATATTTTATATAAACGAAGGTACTAAGAATAGAAATTTTCTAATTTAAGGACGTAGTACTTCAATCGATAGAATTTACAAAATTTATAAGGGTTTAGCTAAATTGTAAATTCAATTACTAAGCTTATATAAAAGTAGTAAAATAGAAAATAAAAATTTAATTAATATATTTATAAAATTAATTATAAGAATATAAGGTTATTTCTTTATTTAGATAAGGGAAATATATACTAAATATATTTATAGTACTATTATATATAAAGATTTAATATTCTATTAATTAATTAAGGTCTATAGGAAATTATAAAGGATTATAATTAGATTCGCGAAATACTTAATGAAATATTTAAAAATTATTATTAGGGCGTATAAAATTACACCGGTATAGAATTTAAAAATGGAAACTTTTTATCCGCTACTTAATTTCTACTTTAATAAAAGGGTCCGAATTTTTAAAGAGAGGTTTATTTAAATAGACTAAGTAAAGTTCGTTCAGGGAACTATAATTTATATTACTAATTATATTTAAATATAAAGGATTAAAAGTTAATTATTTATTAATAAATTA